GCAAGTAGACACTTTGCTATTATCTCTCCTATAAGTTTAGAGTATATTCGGTTGGAGAAATGATGGGATTCGTCCTAAGCTGAAGATAGAAATGAACAGTCTTCCAAAAGAAGCCTACTAATATGATACCATGCCTAAACCTCTCCTAGAATGAGGTAAAAAATCAACTATTTTTACTTGTAAAGGTATTCATGTCAAGCAACACAGAAAGCGTGGATGGAAATTCTGAGTTAAAAGTAGCCAAAAAAAAAAAACAAACAAACAAAAAAAAACCAAAAAAAAAAAAAACCACTATAACAAGCGCTTGACACACGCTCCCACTGTGAGCCATTTTTCCTATTAGTTTAAATTTTCTTATAATGTTCTGACGGCATGATATCATATACAAACATAAAGACAAATCCAATTACAAGAAAGGGCGCTCTCTATTGGCGCCGCCATTGCTGATGAACTTCTTGGGGTCCCCGAGTCCATGTCATGTCCATATACGTTGGTGCAAAGTATTTAGAGTTAAGTACGGTGACAACAAAATACTGCACGAACTATAATTCAAATAGTTGCAGATGATGAGCAAGTTATGGCGTGTACAAAGAAAGAATAATGTAAATGGATCGTAGGTCAGTAAATTGTTGAAATCGTAGCTGTTGCCCTTCTCAGAGCAGTGTATAACCCACCATGAATAATGATATCACTGGCATTTTAACATTTGATACCTTTATAGGGAACATATTATTAGGGATTGTAAATTCTTGAATTTCACAGAATTATTGTCTGGTAATGTTGTTTATATAGCGATCTCTTTTTGGGTATTGGATTTGAATTTTGTGGTTTATCGGCATAATGTGTACACATTAATACTGTATACATTTTAAGCATATCTTAATAGGTCGAAACCGCAATTACAACGTCGTGCATTTACGTTGATAAAAAAAAATAAAGTAGTATTATATAATGTAATTTTCATATAATTACAATGACACAGAATTATATCATCAAGCTCGTAGTGTAATCAAAAATTCATATAAATTTGTCCTACATGTATTTGTTTACCAACTGGAAAATCACCTCTCTTAACGTACACCAGAAATAGAAACATCGTATCGTATGTAAACAGACACCTAACTTATTATGTAGCAATTTACCTTAGTAATCTATATGTCACATAAGCTGATTAATTAGTAGTTCATCTAATGCAATAATCAGAATAACCCCTTCATTTGTGTTGTAATAGGACTTGTACGTGCCCACGGTAGATAACGTAGCATTGGTTTTTGGTTGGGTCAAGTGTTTAAGCATTTAATTTCTCTTGTTTTTTTTTATAGCGATATTGATCGTTCTTCCTCAATGCCGTTTCCTTCTAATTCATTCTTTTTGTTTGGTATAAACGTCCCACTCGTTCAGTACATTTCTCGATCAATATTCTTTCTTCTTTCTATACCCAGGCTGTTGTTGTCCTCTTCCATATTTTTCTCCGTCTGTCTCCTCCGTTTTTCTTGATTATTCGTATTTCAAATGTTTGTACTTTATCTATATCAAATAAAGACTTTCAGAATTAATCAATGTACCCTTTAAACCACAATAATGCAGTGACGTATCTAGGACGATGGTGGGGGGGGGGGCGAAGGTGAAGTGGACAACTCGATGATTAGGTGAGGGGCGCAATTGCTCTCAAAATTAGGCGATTTAAGTTAATTTCAACAACTCGAGCGTGATTTGTTTGCTTCGAACATTTTCAATTGAGGAGTGGCGACTGAGGGAGCGAGTATCCCCCTCGCGCATCCTCTATATACAATACAGTAATCGTCAAAGCTTATGGATGGCCTGTTCCTTGGAACCCTAACCGGCCGCTTAGCCAAATGGCCCAATATGACAGAAAGAAACACCTCTTAAACTACAGCTTGTAAAAAATCATCCCGTAGCATTTTAACTAGAAACTAATGTATTGCTTATACATAACAAAACTTTTATCAAAAATATATAGGCCTACAGTACAGGTATATGAAATATAAAATACGTTTAAATTGAGATTGAGAAAAAAAAAATGAAATATGTAAATACTTCCTAGACATGTGGTCAAATATACGGTAATTTAAAAGAATAATACGCGCAATGGAGGGGCAGAGCCCAAAAAATTAACAACTACAGGCGGGAAAGACACACGGCACATACACAGACGGCACCAATAAAATTTAAGCCAATGTTGACGATGTTGAGAATCAATAGGCCTAATTCTAAAAATGTTGAATTATAGATGAATTGATAAATTAGTAGGTCTCATACGGTGGACATGAATGAACAATGGTTTACATTCAATAATAAGATACCGGTAGCGGTTTAAAACCGTTAGAAAAACGCATTTAAACAAAATAGCTTCATGCAGTCATAAAATCGTTCATCACAAACTTATACTCTGTTTAGATTTCCATTACGTTCCTCATCATTGTGATACCTTATACATACGCATAACTTGAAAATATTATTGGAAGCATTAGGCCCTGTTAAAACTACATACTGGTGTCCCTTGATGCCCGTATCACATCGTTTATATGGCTCCATCAATCCATTATCTCTTTATTCATTCTCTCTTAAAAATAGACGTCTCAATTTCGAATGTGAATGATAATACTGGGTGCGTCTTGACCCACATGGTGACCTGTCAAGCAGAAGCAGACAGTACAACAAATAGATGGCAGCAGACGTGCAATATCCTTCGTAATCGTGGTACCCGTAATCGTCATACAATATATACAATATTTTATTAGTATTATCATTATAGCAGTTCTATGAGCTACACAAATCTTCTTTATTGCTATTGTTATTATCACTACATATATATATATACATATATATATATGTGTGTGTGTGTGTATATATAATATATATATATTTATATATATAATATATAGGCCTATAAGAAAAGTAATTTTTAACTACATCTAGGCCTAGGCCCTCTATAAATGCTGTCTCTTATACACATCTAGATGTGTATAAGAGACAGGTCCTGGGCCTAATTCCTGTTATACCAGAGTTTATTTTGCGACTAAAATCATCTCCAATCCCGACAGGTTTAAGGAAAACGCAACGACACGACACGCGCGCAACGGATAATTTTTAATGAAGATCTGTTCAGACTGGCACCGACAACGAGCAGAGTTGGGTTCGTCAGCCGACCGTCGTACGACTCGGTGAGTGCCCAGCTTAAAAGTTGCTGTGCCAATTCCAAGAAGTAGACCTTGTATGTATTTCTGTGATATGGTGGTATATATTGAATACTGTTAAGAAAATGATATGACTGCTAATCACAATGGTGGAAACCAAAGGACTACACCTTTATATGTTGTTAAATTTTAGCTATTTTTATGCTCTCATTTTCGAATAATTGTTGGTCTATGATACCGGTGAGAATAACGAAAATAATAAAAATTACTATTTTCAAAAATCTTTAAATGCGTTTTTCTCAAAATGCACTTTTCCACATTCGCCACTACGTTATATAAGGGACGATATGATTAACTGGTGCATCTTCGATTAATCATATATTATATTGTCATACATTGTGATATGATATCTTAAACAATTTACTGATGCTTTTTATTTTCGTGATTTTTGAACAACCTGCACTAGTCTTTTCCTACATTATGACTTTATATGAAGGTCATTTACCACTGATTTAAATGACCAAAATGGAAGGATAGTGAATTATATGAAAGAATGGTGTAGGGTCCTATGTAAAATTGGAAGCTGAAAAGAAGGATTTCTCACACTATTAAACAATCTGTTATCGACCTGATTGAAGAAATTCGCGATTTTAGATCTATCATTATTTTTTATAATTTACTTTTGCGTTACGGAATTCAGCTTCGAAATTGTAAATTGAGTGGTGAGGGTTCCCAATTGATTTAGTAAATATAATGTAATAGTAATTGAGCCTACTACTTAGGATATGCATGATACAGTTGCAAAGCGGTTAACTTGTGTGAGGCCAAGCCCATTTATATACAACTTTTTTTCAGTAAGAAATTTACATCGATTAATTTTGAGCCGATATATATCCTTATGTATCATGAATACTCAGTTCGTAATAACAACTATGAATTAATAATAATATTGATAATAATATTATGATTAATAGTATTATAGCATAATGATGATAACTATAATAATTAATGAGATTTGTATAGCGCTCATAGAATTGCTATACTGCACAATAATAATTGTGATCATAATAATAATTTAAAAAAAATAATGTATATACCAATGTTACATATTCTTATTCGGATGATGGTGGTAATCTGACTCACATAAAGTAACTTATTCGATAATCGTTCATTTAAATGTGGTCTTGTTGATTTTCTTTCAATACTCGCATGATTATTGATAATAATATTATGATTAATAGTATTATAGCATAATGATGATAACTATGATAATTAATGAGATTTGTATAGCGCTCATAGAATTGCTATACTGCACAATAATAATTGTGATCATGAAAAAAATATAATGTATATACCAATGTTACATGTTCTTATTCTCATGAAAAAAATATGATGTATATACCAATGTTACATGTTCTTATTCGGATGATGGTGGTAATCTGACTCACATAAAGTAACTTATTCGATAACCGTGCATTTAAATGTGGTGTTATTGATTTTCTTTCAATACTCGCATGTTCATTACTCCTTTTGGTATTATTATAAAATTTACAGGATGAATACACTATGCCTGAACATCATCTTGACATCCGGAGAGTCCTTGCTCTCCCATGGTCAATAGTCTAATGTGCATATGTTAATATTAATTTCCACAAACTCAATAGATCCTGAAGTGCCCAAATAAGAAACATACATATGGTTGACAAATAGATACATCCAACGAATGTACACATTCCTTTGTATTAAAGACCCTCGTTCATACAAAACATCTTACCCTTAAAGAGTACTTCTCCTTCCATGCTGTTGTCATGTAGTGTTATTCGAATTGTTTGATATAGCATAAATACGGTGCAAAGTTGGTGTGAGATCAGTAAGAAAGCTACGGCAAGACAGTGATCATGGCTGTTGGGAGCATAGTAATTTCGTTGTGGTGTATGTTACACGTTGTCGCGGCGCAAGGTAGGCCAAACATATTTCATTTACAGTTCGCTAGTAATAAACTATCATACAGTTCAACAATGAAATTGCTTTTCAGCATAGGCCTATTTATATAAGATTGAATGAGAACTATTTTGAAATTTTGCCTACATGTAAGAACGCATAAACAATATGGTTTTATATTATTTTGTAGTTATACGTAAATTAGGTTAAAAATTGCAATTGTTAATGCCAAATTAGTATTTTATAATTCCAGATTTTAACCGTTGACCTAATTTTTACGGCGTTCTAAAAACTTTCAAAATTTATCCGTACAATACCGCCTTTACACATTCTCTACTCTATACAACTTAATATAGGCCTATGTGTGCATTTAATGCAATCTAAATATTTTTGTGTCCTGGTATTTTGAATTCGATTTGTAATTCAGTTGCTTTTTTGTCTCAAAGATGGTTATAGGCCTATCAGCGAAGACTCCGAAGGAAGTAAGTATTTCGCAAGTTATTTCCTACAATGGACCTATCTTTGTTTACTTATCTTGCATTAGTTTAGTTTAATTTATCTTTTCTCACCTTACATTAGCCTATTTTACCTACATTACGTTATCTTAGTTGTTCTCCCTTGTTGATTTGAAAGCGTCGTGGTAAACACTAAGAAATATTATCCAATCTCCATTATCCAATAGGCTTAATGGTTATAAACCATTATGCCAGATAGAACTTATTGCACGAAGGCTAGATTAATGCATGAAAATGTGGTCCTTTACAACACGAATTTTCTAAAAGTGTATTTAAAGTTAATATCTTACTTTTCACCTTCCCTCTAAGCTTAGACATATTTTGCCTAGAGGAACCGATTACAGCTAGCTAGACCTTGTTAGATTTGTGGGATCGCAAAATATTCTTACTCCAATTTTTCATTGTCTTCGTTTCCATAGTCGTCTTTGGTTACATAGAATCCATTAATCTCTTCAGCAATCGAATTTTGTAAATTCTTAAAATTTGTTTCTTGCCCATGCGTTTAACGTACGAACGTACGCCATTGCAATGAAATGTATGTAGGTGGCAGTATCTATTTGTCACAAGCCAGAAGCAGGCTCATTATAGTAAATCATGTTTGAGATTTTGCACACAATCCGAAAAACAAACCGGTTAATTTTAGGTTAGGTTAATTTTGGGACAGGGAAATGACATTTGAGGTAATTTTTAGGATGTCACTTCCATGTAGATTTTTTTTCTAAGTTATCAATTTTATGGAATCTTACAATATCCGTTTTGGCCTTTTATTGATTTTATGAAGTTATCCCGTGATTTGTATGTTGATTTTACTAAATAGATGAATGAATGAATAAATAAATGAATGAATGAACAATGGACGTATGATGTTCGATATTGCATGACTGCAAAGGATCTATCACGAAATCAGCTCCTGGTGCGCCACTTGCAATATGTTTATTCTATTTTTTCAGGCTACGCTATATTCGAAACAAACACCAGTCCTGGCTATAGCTACAATTACTACCCACAAAAATTATCCCAGAGTGGTAGGTTAGTATTTGAGGTGAAGGCAGAATCTGGCGTACACGTAACACTCAGCCCAACAGGGAGTGATGCTTCATATCAGTACGAAATTGTTATCGATTCACAAAAGATTGTTTTTCGAAGGTGAATGTTTTCTTTATTTTTGTAAATAGGCGACTTCAAACGTACAATACGTTTAAGGCCCCTGCTACACTTGAGCTGTATGATGCAATGGTCAGATTGTTGAATTTAGAATGCCTGCTTGGAACCCTTTCCAGTCCGGTTACTAAAATGCATCAGAAATGATCTAAAGAAGATCACATAGGTTTATGCCACTAGACAGTTACAGTGAAAGAACACCCTGATATGATCCCCACGAAAAGTAGACCTGCTGATTACATAGCCATCTCTTAATATTTCAAAATGTTTATTCAAAATCTATAATATTTAAATATTTAGTTTTATTAATATTACTAGACACACTGATCAGCTAATATTTATAACTCTTAGATTTGCACGTACCGACACATTTAAATTTTGTGTGTTTAATGATTTCCCAAGAATTTGGGGTGAAGTCCCTACTGACCTTCAAGTACATCTGCTTTTTAATATTAATTTATTTCTTGGAACTTTACTAGACATGCGTCATTCCGTGTAATTCTGCACCACCATTTTCAAACTCTACAAAGTACCTATATATATTTCGATGTGAAGGGAAGAAATAATAAAAATGAAAATTCATAAAGCGCCGGTATCCGTTTAAGTGAAAACGTTCATGAACCCCTCCACAAGAAGTCACAAAATATGACAGAAAAAGGAAATTTATGAAACTATAAGTATCTTGTCCAAAGACAAAAGTGATGTGAATAGGGTCATTATAGATCTCATTACATTTCGTGATCTTCACCGCTTCAACTGGACGGCTTTAACCATAACTGTAACTACTATCTTACAGATGCATCGACTTCTGTTTCATAACTGTTGCTGTGGTATCGCCCATAATATCAGACACAGAATTTACAAGATTTTACATCAGCTACAACGAGAACGGAAAAATTCAGGTTGGAGTTGATTCTCAAGATCCGTTAATTGACTGGACAGACCCGCAGCCGATCACCGTCAATTATTTCGGGTGGTATACTGGGCCATATTCAAGCGGAATGTGGAGGTTTTTCGTCATCCCAACTTTAGGTGAGCTTTAATTCTTTGTAAACTTTAATTTTATCAATAATAAGAAATTACTTTCTAACTCCATACCATAATTATAATACAGAAATAGCAGCTCTATAATAAATCAATATTTGAAATCATTGTAATTGAACTTCGTCACTTGTTATCTTTCAGACGATCCTTGCACTAAAGAACCTTGCCAAAATGGTGGTCAGTGCTATCGTATTGGGTATGGAGACTACGAGTGCAAATGCTCTGCTTGCTATGGAGGAAAAACTTGTTCAGATTGTATGGTTTTGACCATTATACGCACATTTACATTAAAACACATGCACTATATACACAATTATACACTTACGGTATATAATTATATCACCAAGACACGTAGACGTTTTCTGTACACATGCCTAGGAGTAGCATGAGAAACAAAATTGTGGTGACAGTATTGTCATTTCTCTACACGATTCATAACCATAGACCTTTTATATTCCTGAATGTATCACACAAATACAGTAGTAGGCCTGTGGTGGGTAGAGACACATGAAGTTCGAAGGATGACAGTAATTATTATATAACAAAATGTGAGAATGCTGCTATTTTTTGTTGTTGTTTTAATTACGTAATTATGTTCATCTAGGCCTACGCGTATTAGGCAAATTATAATTAGGTGCTAATATATTATTGCTTTGATCTACAGTACTTGACCCCTGCTCAACCGGATCTTGTAGGAATGGTGGAACATGTGTGTCTAGCCAGGATTGTCAATCATTCACTTGTTCGTGTACACAAGGTTTTGTTGGAAGATTCTGCGAAACAGGTAGGTCAAAACTTTGCTACCAACATCATTACCTAACCTATATATTATCTCATTTTAAACAAAATTCAAAAGCATTCTAAACTTTTAATTAATGACTTTATTTTAGATAATGAGAAACCCAGCATCCAAAAACCAGATAACATCATTGTAAGCACGGATCCAGATTCACCAACTGCTGTAGTAACACTCACAAATCCAGAAGCTACAGACAATTCCGGTAAGCAACCGACAGTTGCATGTGAACCAAAATCTGGAACTGCTTTCCCGATTGGCCAGACTACAGTTGAGTGCAAAGCAACAGACGACAGTGGAAATACAGACTCGGTTACGTTTACTGTAACTGTTGAAGGTAATAACAATAAATATTTTGGCAATGTATGAAATTTCACCAAATACGTCTGAAGTATGTTTTTGGATGATTAAATTTTTATCTTCTTTCAATACCGTAGATAATGAAAAACCACAGATAGATCCACTATCTGACATACTTCAAAATACTGATCCAGGGAGAAACACAGCAGTCGTGACTTTTCGAACACCAACTGCAACAGACAATTCCGGTACAAACCCAACTGTTGTATGTATACCTCCATCTGGATCCTCATTTCCAATTGGTAGTACTGA